CCTGCGCTGAACATTCGTAGACGTCCTTACTAGTAAAAGTAGTCTGGTCCTATGCCTGTAAGATTATCCCATTTTTGCGACTCCACAGTAACTAACGAATGCGCTGTGACCGTTACAAATGGCTGCTCTGACGCCTTCCTGGCTGCACCGCATAGAAAAACTCAAGAGTCACTTTCGGCCACAAGCTCAGACATCGCGTTTTCGTACTTTCTCACTGATAAACGCTGTTAGCATTAAACGACGCCAAAAAAACAAGTCGCTTATTCAGAGGCGGCATGACATCCCACTGGGGGCACAAAACGAGCAGGTCCGGAGAATTCGTCTAGAGAGGCTGTCCGGTCATTCCTTGCTTGAGTGTTCCCCATGATTTTTTTCTCATTCCTTGCTTGAGTGTTCCCCATGATTTTTTTTCTATTTCTTCCATGGAGAGTCATTTAGCGAGTACAGTTCGTAAATGAATGTTATTATCCACAATGCGGGGTTTTTCGTTAGGCTTACCGGGTTAGTTAGGCACTTGTCACTTTTGTTCGTAACTCAGCACCCTACTTTCGGTGCTTCAATAAGCAGCAGTTGTTACAACAAAGTAAGCTTATAAGACTACAGCTGCGCTTACCTGGCATTCCTTTTGCGCTCAAAATAGTCCACAAGCTGAAGCTTGCGAATCTTCTCTCGTTGCTCTTTACGCTGGTCGAGGAACTCCCCGCAGTCGTCAGTCTCTCGTACGAAATGGTTTGCGTAGTCATGAGCTTTCATACTGAACAAGAAGAATGTTTCAGTACTACAAAGAAAATTACGAACTGATTGTCCAAGTGGTGCAAAGCATGACGAGCTTCTAAAAACTTATTGTGAGACCCTAAATACTCGAAATTTTTGAGTGCTTTTCTTGCAGCGATTTCTTTCAGGTCTCCCCGGCAGAGGAACTCAAAAAGATACTAGATTCCTCTTCGTCTTTAGAATAATTCACAATTAGTTTTCGACGTCTCTTCATGTCTTTGACAGCATGCGGATCTGATTTAGGCTCCGTGACAGCCCATTACTACACTCCATATCTCCGAAATGTGGTGGGCGTGGCTGCACACTTCATCCGAAGATGGCGATGGTTGCACTTCCCGTTTGACACCTACTCTTATCGAACAATACAAATATAAAAATTAAAGCATAAATATAAAAAACGTACATATCGATAGTTTCATACGCTAGAGGATCGCTCTTTAGTAAAAAGCCTGGTAGCGTTAACGGAACAGGAGGTGCTTCCATAGCGTGCCCAATCATTGTTAACCAATCATACTGACCAGTCTAAAACATTGCTTTGATCATTGAAAACAGTAATGATTCTATTGTAACCAGTACTTACTTCTACATGTCTTACGATCTTCAAAGTTTCAATCTGTTCAAATGAACTAAACGAAGCGCTGGTAAAGGTATTTGTTGCCGTTAAATCATCTGTTGATGTATCATTCGCAGCCGATTCCGTTGTCCTCATCCTTAGTTCACCACGCTCATTATCGACCTAAAATATTGAACATGGCGAACTTGTAACTTGTACAAGAACTCATATAACGAGAGGGGAGGGGTAGGGGGAACGTGAAGCCCATTTTCGTTACGGTCTGTCGCACGTTGTAGATTTCTATGCAGGGACCACGAAAGTCTAGTCATTTTCGTTACGTGTAGAAGTGGGGAAGAATTCCAATTATACCTCTGTTTCAAAATTCTAGCTTTGAATTCTACGGGTTTACGATGAGCTCGGTGACTAAAGGTCTTCTGCTTTATGGACGATCCGGTTGTTTGTGAAGACGTTTTTCTTTTACCAAAACGCCCCAGTTATATGACCAATTTGCGACTGTCTTGTCCGTCTCGCACCCAAAAGACCCTCCTGTAGGACATTGATCACTCACAGTGTACTGAATTTTGCGTCCGGCAATGGTTGTAGTTACAACGTCAGTCCGTTTCTTCTTCTTTGGAACTGCTACTGCTGCATCATCACCATCATCATCATCGTCTTCGTCATCAATCACAGTAATACGAGCAGGGCTACTTGGGTAGGCAACTTCCGTGGGCTCAATGGCCGTATCCACACTTTCCGAATCGTTATGGGGTTCATCTTCGTAGGTGGTCGGAATCGTCATTACCCAGTCCTTCACCATATCAACAGATTTCTGCATACGATCCTGCTTCGTCGCTGATTCTCCTTTTTCACCGCTGCATTCAGGGGCTTGATGGAATACCTGGAAAGAATTTCAGTATTCTTTCAACCGATAACCTGGAATAAATGGTAGAACAACACATACCGTATTCTTGATAGTATCTCCCATTAGACGACGAGCTTCTTCCATTAGATTCGGGGAAGGTACGAGAGTATTTTCAGTACTAACACTGTTGATACACACGTTCACCTTCCCGCCGTCGTAATCGAAAACCACTTGACCACATGGATAGTCGAATTCCGCCTGATTCATCTCTTTCACGTTCCTCGACAAGTCATCAAATGCAACGTTCAGCTGAATCAAAACATATGAGAAACATTGTAGCAATGTGACAAAACATCCTAATAACAGATGTATCGCGGAAACTACTGCTGAACAGATTATTTTTGTAAACCCATTATGAGGACAAGAATCTTGCAATTCATCCCTCCTCTGTCACTCGACATTGCTCATAACCAATCCATTGAGAAAGCGAGTCCCAAACTAAGCCCTGCTCACGAAGAGGTTGTAAGGTCCCCAACAATCTTAGCAAATACAACATCCGGCTATAGTTTCAGAATTTCAAAAAAGTCTCCAATTCTTAGCCCTTCCACACTGTTCAGCCCTATATCATGTCCTCAATAAAATATTGTCAACAGCAAATAAAAAATCGAGCTAAAAAAGGTGGAGCTAAATACTGCAACAGAAATATTAACAAAAATACCTTTATAATGAGCTTGTGTAGATTCATGATGTTGTTTCGCATAAGAGATTTTGCACGAGCTTCGTGAATACGTGATAGAATATAGGCTCTTGCGATAGGAGAAAGCATGGACAGTTCGTAGTGGTCCAAATGCAAAACATCCTAGAAAAGCGCCAGTTATCGTACAGCAACTTCATAAGAACTCGTTAGGACTTTTTATAAGGCACGCTACACGCATGCTAAGGCCGGGCGGTTTGTGTCAGCCAATCTGAGGTGTTATGAGCGAGGTAGGCCACACCCACTCACCCACTCACTCATTTACCATGGACAACCGTCGCCTCAACCATCTGTGCCTCATTTAGAATGAATTACCACTTACGCTCATATGTTTGTTGTAGTACGACGAAACTTCTTTTTGAATCTGAGCCTGGCACAACTCCACTACAGAGTCGATGTAAAAGAAAGCATCATCGAATCCATCATCATTATTTCTGCGCTGCTTCATAACCAAACAGATGTTCAATGGTATTCAGCTGACCATCGACTTCTTACCATCCAGTAACTTCCCACCTTAAATTAAACAAATATCTACTTTTTTTTTATAAATCAAATAATTAAAATTTCGTCTCAAAAAAAGTCTACTCAACTCGAAAAGTAACTACAATTCACTGCCCGCGAGCGCAGAGCTTCAGACGATTTTGCCCCGAACAATCTTTCTCTCCGCTCGGGACTGGCTGAATGCATGCGTCACCTCGCGTCTCAATTATACAAAAACAAGTATCCGCAGCGTGTTGCTTTTGCCTAGGGACGCCCTGTCACGTAAGGTGCTTACAGTCGCCAAAAAAACCTCCAAGTATTTACGGTGCGGCGTCGGCGTTCGTTCAAGCGGACACATATTCGCCTAATGGACAGATCAAAACCCGTTAAGCGATAGGTTAAACTCCCTAATTAACAATCAAAGAAACAGATATTGCGAACCATAAATAAGGACTGAACTTCGGGAAAAAACGTGCACTAAAGTGATTTAGTGGCGAAATTCTTATGAAAACAAAACCAAGAAGTAAGCACTCACATCTAGACCCTCGATTGGAAATGGACAGGTGCCAACTTGAAAGAATGGGACCAGATCAACGAGAAAAATGTCTTCACTCGATTCTAATGAGACGTTTTTGAATTCAATTGTGTCATCGCTTGTACACGTTTCAATGCGTTCGGAATGGCGATCTAAAAAGAAAATTCAATACAAGCTGATAATGACTTGTTTACAAAACAACATATAGCAAAGTAAATAGAAGTTAATTATACGTACAAGTCTAATCATTGACAGTGCCAGCCCGTACACATGATTGTACACCGAAGAGAGATTGTTTGTTTTCCTGAAATCCATACGTCGAAATAACTGGTAAGCCTTCGGAGCAACTATTTCTCCAACTCTTAATGTACCTACCTATTCCATTCTTCAAATCGCCTGATATAAGAGCAGCAAGTCTCTATTTTAGACGAAAGAGCCGCTGCCGCATTCATTTCGAAGAGAAGGCAATACATACGAGCATCGAACTGAAATATACCCGAATTGGACTAACTGCTCAGACACTGCTGATTGTATAGGCGGAGTAACTTGAACCAAGGCGCCCTGCTCATTGGTGGGCCCCTCCTTGTACGATGGAAACGGTTAGGGGCCTCTAATGAGAAGGGTGCACTAAGGCAAGTAACTCCACCCGTTCAACCACAGTGGGATGTGCCTTAGGAGACAAACTGTACACGCAGCTCCGTGGATGTTGGTCATTGCCATATGAGAGTGGAAGGGTCCTTATGTACAGTAGCGTCCACCTTCTTGGCTCAAATGTGCAAGGAAACGAGGCAGGAGGGTAATGTGCAGTATCCCTACTCTGCCCGCGCTGGCGCGCGGTCAGCCACAGGCCTGACCATAGTCAAACGCGCTTCTTGTCTGCGCCCTCTCAATTCTGTACGCTCCCTAACTCACACTGAGCGTTATCTGCGAAATTTCGTACTGACGAGCGCTGCATATTGACTAATATGGCTATCTTTCAGCCCAGTTCCCGTGCACTTCTGAGCCGAAAAGTGGCACGGTACTGCAGCTGCAAACCCACTCACCCCGAACGTGACAAGGATCGTCCTCAGAGAGAGAGTGTACAGTTCTTCTTTAATGGAACAACAATAATTAGAGCGAAAAATGTAGAGAAAATAAAAAGAAGGACGTACAATTTGATGATGTTTTTCCCAAAGTGAGCACTGATACGCATTGAATACGGCCAATTGCACGGATCTTGCAGTGTATTCCCACAACTCATAAAGGACATCCAATACGAATAATTGTGCATCCATCAAGAAATGAAGCGACCAATGTGTCGTGGACCGGATGTTCTAAAACGAAATCGTCTTTAACGGATGAAATTCCTCGTCAAAAGTACACCAGATCCAAACAGTTACCTCAATGATCGTTCTTGCTCCACTGACTTGCTCCAATATACACACGACACCCTTGTCATATTGCGAAAACGCATTTTCTAAACTGCCTTCAACCCGAGGAAGTGACAAACGAAGAGGTGAAACTGGATGCAATGAAGCCATTAGTGGACCTGAAGTCATCCATGAACGTATGGCGGTTGATAATGAATCACGAGCCAAACAATATCAACAAAGATATTACAATTCTTGTTCGCTGCGGATGAATGGGCGTGTCGGGCCGGATGGGTTTGGGGCGGCGCCAAACCCGTTTTCCACTAGTTGCTGATCCGAGCAAGCCACTAGATTATATCATATCGCTCGTTTCAGTCCATTTCCACCGACGCTTGTCGCTTATCCGTTTCGACAACTGGTGGACAACGGATTTGGCGCCGCGCCAAACACTTCCCGCCCGGCACGCCCTTTCATTTGCAGCGAACAAGTCTGTAGCAGGGACGCAATCATATAAAAGGGAAGTATTAAAAATATAACACGAAAACGAAGCAAAGAACCCACTCACCCATATCAGCTTCACATCTTACGACTGGATTCACAGGCTTTATCATCGTCAGCTAAAATAGCTAAGTTATGTATGACCTGCCAATTACATACACATCTTCGGTTACTTACCTTGAAGTCAGAAATGAGATGGCTACGGGGTCGTGATGCGACAATAGCGACAGTCTTGAAAATGAAAAAAATGAGTAAAAAAATATAGCACGAAAGTATTTCTAAAAACGTACAGTTTCACGTGGATATGGCGATTTTCGTCGTATCTCTCAAACGTCTTCCTAGGCTTGACCAAATCTTCTGAAAACGTGAGTTTAAGCGAGTCATATAAAAAAGAGGGATAGTTCTTGGAAATATTACAGTACGGACAAAAAAAATCGGAACAAGCCGAGAAGCACTTCTTTTAACTGTTCGGTATTACTCAAGCAACCAGTAATTAACCAGCAATTCACTTCCATATCTTCCCTAATGCGACCGACTTCTATAAGTGAGACTACTAAATCAGCCTTCTAAGAGTTAATCCCAATTGGACAAAAATGCAAAATCTTCGAGTAAATTGATGGTCTACTGGTTTCAGAACCAGTAAATGTAATCAGCAGCAGGTCTGCCCGAGAAAATTTCGTGCACATGCTACAGAGAAACTAATTTAAAATAAATACCCCCAGAAATAGTATTCTTGACTTGCTCTCAATGCTTTTTTTCCGCTAGTAAAAATGAATTAGTTCAATGTTCAATGTCAGTGCTTGTACTACAATCTCAAATTTAGTTGTACCAGGAAAATAAAAAAGCCATTTACCTCTGCAGCCAAAAAGCCTTGGTCGATGCGTATCATTCCGATATTCAAATCCTGAAAACATGTATTTTAGCATGAGATTAGATTAGACATTATTGAGAAAAATCAAAAGATAAGAAATAGTTGAGCAGATGCTTCATATCCGAACACTTTCTATTGATCATTTCATTATATGCCCATCACGACCCCACATTTCTAAATTCCAGCAATTTTTACCAAATTTCGCCGTTATGGGTATGCTCGACCAGGAACTTGCCATCAGGAGGAAGTTCGACAATCTCAACACGAATATCAGGCTTAACACAAAAGTGTGCGACGCGCTAAAGGCGCTGAACCACAAGCCTATTCTCGCCTGCGCCTTTAGTTTTGGCGCTTGGTGCATTATCAAGGATACCTTGCGCTTTCGCACCAAGTCAGTTTGACCACATTCTGCTCAGATAGTCGTCACAAGCGACAAACGCAAGGAAACTTGTGAATTGAGGTCTTCTAGCACCAGCGTCAAACATTTTTCGCCAAGCTGATGTAACATTAATGTTCAAAGGGCCGAACTGATGAGCAGGCAAATTTCTAGCCTACTATGCTCTAGGCTACGGATTTGAATAAAAAATATGGCTTTAAATTTGAACATCAAAGTCCTACACTGTGAATAAATCCTTCTTGAGCAATATAACGTGTGGGTTCGCGGCAACGAATCCATGGTGTATACCTGGAAGCCGACGAGGTACGCCGGCGACTCCCATCCACACAAAGGAGGGACATCATTCTAGGTGAGCGGGGAGACGGCAAAGCCGCTAGTTTTTTTTTGCATAGGTTACAACTGGTTACTCCAGGGCCCAAGGCTGCTTTTACAACAAACTGTGTTTTGAGGTCAAACGAGCATTTATTTTTTTCATTCTGGAAAATGAGCAAAAATCAACCACTAAAAGGAAAAGCGATCAACTTACCATGACTTTGCTTCTACACAACTCCACCAATGCTCCAAACCGTCCCTGACATATATTCGGTTCTTCTCTTCTCCACAAACGATCCAGCACAGTTTTGACATCACTTTGAAGAAATGTGTATTTGCGCGATGGGATGTCCCCAGCAGGAACGAGCGCAAGTTCGCTCGTTGTTTCCCTACTGGCTTTTTCCATGGTATGTTGCCTATCCAACTTCGAAACCTTGAAGAAAAAAGATTGAACGGAACCACTAGCCTGACTCGAAAAGGGACCATACAATCTCACCCCTTCTTTGCGCTTCCTTTTGCGAAGACTATCTCCAATACCGAACAAATCTGGTGACTGTACATAGCACTGCTCCAAAAACTAAAAAAAACCTTAGATGTACAGCTTCTTTACCAGTAAAATTTTTCTATTGCTAAAGATTATCACGCTTACCGTTGCTTCAGAAAATCCACTGTCATAGGTGTCTTCATTGCGGAGGTACTGAAAACACTGAGAATTTTATTGGGCTGATTTGCACTTTGGAAATGGATAATTTATAAAATGGGGTGATGGTGATGATTAGGGGGTGGGAGAGAGCAACACGGCGCCGGAACCATGCCATGCCGCAGGTTCCCATAACTTTTGTGCCCCCATCGGATGGTATCGACACCACTTTCTGGCGCTACAGAGCTATGTGGCTGCAATAATACAACATTTTTAAAGAAAATGTACTGACAGGCAACGGATCGTTATCTCCGACGATAACGTCCGCAGCGTTCACACTTTGCGATGGCGCGCGTCGACGCGCAATCACCGCAACTGCACTCCAGTAACACTATAGACGTATCAGTCGGCAACGGCTACTTGTATTTTGCAGTGTGCATATCCTACTGTTCGATTTCCATCTAAGAAAATGTGCAGAATGAAACTAAACTATCTCCTTGACGCCTCTCTCTTGTGCAGAATGAGACTAAGCTATCTACTTGACACCTCTCTCTCCCGCTCACATATTTTAATCATACTAGTTTTATCAACTTATGCATATTCTATTGGGAGAGTACAAGCCATTAGAAGGGTACGCAGTTTTAATCACAGAGTCTGGTACCCTCTGTTCTTTTGCACTCTCCCAGAACACTAGCGGCCGGCGCCGATCGGTACCCTTCTACGGCTGTGTTCCCCTATAGCACTGGAGCGGCTTGCAATGGTAGCGCGCAGTGATAAAGCGCCCAATTTGAATTGGTAATATGGACAGACAAGCAGACACGACATGGCATTGTTGCGCCGCACCGCAGCCCCCTTCAGGTAACTTTAACCCGAAGATCTCGCGAACAACCTACCTCAACAATCTTGCCGCTTTCAGTGACAACACTTGTATTGTAGTCTACCTGAATAAAATATTATTCATAAAACTGGATAGCTAAGAAGTTGAAAATGTAATGAAAGAAAAAGCATCACTCACAGTAAACTCCTGACCAGACTTCTGTCGCTTTCGCTTTTTACGAGGAGGTGCCATGACGGTCAGCGAACATTTCTCCACTTCTTTATGAACAAAAACATGTTCCACATTGAAGTTATTCGCTTCAGATAGGCTTTCTGCAGCTACAAATCCTGAATCAAGCGACACAAACTCCTCAACGACTTTCGTATCGGATACAGATTCCGGTAGTGGGGAAGAAGCTGGCTGAAGTTCTTCCTGTGTTTGTCTAGCAGCAGCTTCGTCCAGCACTTCACTCTCCAGCTTTGCCTTATTTGATTGTGGTATGAGATATTCAGTCACTCCCATCGTTTCTTCTTCATCCTTGGCCTTTTTACGCAAATCCATCTCAACTTGTAATGTCGCCGATTCCTGTTCATTCTGTGGAGACGCTACAGGCGGAACATCACTCAGATTCCACTGTTCAGTTATTTCCGTGGCGCTGTTACAGGTTGTACCCATGAGATCTTCCAGAACGTTCCGGACATCAGTCGATATTTCATAATCCTTTTTCTCTGCCTTGTCTCTGTCATCGATGGCTGCAGTGTCTTTTGCACGCTTTCCCTTCGAAGGTAATTTTACACCATCATGTTTAAGAAGAGCCAGATCACTAGGAGACAATTTTGCGTACGATTTCCGAACTTCAATTCGCTTCAACCGAGAGGCCTTCTTCCACTCCATGTCTTCTTCAGCACTTAGTCCATCAGAGGTATCGTCCGCTGTCGGTGAAAACACTCGTTCCATTGAAGTTGATGGCTCTCCAAGGGATTGCAAAGTTGTACGAAGTCTCGCAATGTCGGAATCTGCCATTGAAATCAGACCTCCCGCGATGTCATTGGGTCCTGCGACGAAATCGGCATTTACTGCGATGGCGGACAGAGTAGTAGAATCTGCATCTGCGCACCGTACTGTATGTGACGCCTCACCTTTACTTTCCACTCTTTTAGCAGACAAAGACTTTGTGACACATTTGAATGAGCAGGATGCACTTACTGGAGGCGGAATTGTCTTCGTCACAGAAAGGCACTCCCTTTCGAACCCATCTTAGTTGATAGCCCTTTTGCACCATCTGATACTTGCGGAGAGAACTGCGACGTCGAATGCGACAACGCTCAGCGTAGCCTTTTCCCGACTGACCACCGGCACTGTAAACGTCGCCTCGGCATGTTCAAACTTTTTGGTGATCCTTGTCGTGCGACTCGTAACTTGCGGAGAGAACTGCGACGTCGAAGCGACAGCGCTCAGCGTAGCCTTTTCCCGACTGACCACCGGCACTGTAAACGTCGCCTCGGCATGTTCAAACTTTTTGGTGAAACGTATCCTTGTCGTGCGACTCGTAACTTGCGGAGAGAACTGCGACGTCGAAGCGACAGCGCTCAGCGTAGCCTTTTCCCGACTGACCACCGGCACTGTAAACGTCGCCTCGGCATGTTCAAACTTTTTGGTGAAACGTTGCCTTGTCGTGCAACTCGTAACTTGCGGAGAGAACTGCGACGTCGAAGCGACAACGCTCAGCGTAGCCTTTTCCCGACTGACCACCGGCACTGTAAACGTCGCCTCGGCATGTTCAAACTTTTTGGTGAAACGTATCCTTGTCGTGCGACTCGTAACTTGCGGAGAGAACTGCGACGTCGAAGCGACAACGCTCAGCGTAGCCTTTTCCCGACTGACCACCGGCACTGTAAACGTCGCCTCGGCATGTTCAAACTTTTGGTGAAACGTTCCTTGTCGTAAGACTCGTACACTTATACTGCTCAGTAACACGACCGTATTCAGGCCAAATAATACTTCCGCTGGCACTCTGTTCTGGTGCTACCCAATCGACAGGTACATCCGTTGTAGTAGACAGATTAGTTGCTTCAGAACTAGGAATTGCAATTGTCACCGAATGGCGGAAATTCTGTTCTTTTCCGCTTGCTTCGAAAGAGGAAAACATCTCAGCGTCTTCGATTGGCCAGCCAAATGGTTCAGGTTCAAAATGTTGGAATGTGCTCGTGGACGGCAAATCGTATCCATCTGGACCTGGACCTCCGTTCCGTGAGATCACAAAACTCAGCTTCAATTTTTTGCATCAGTTCGTCAACGCTAAGCGGTCGATCGAGTGGGACTATTTCACCAGCGCTGCCATCAGAATACGGCACAGATGGTTGTGCGAACTGCTGAGAAGTACCGAGATTGTCAACATCACAAGCAATCTGAGTCCTAGTTGCGTCCACATTCTCCGGTGCTAAGACAGGCTCATTGTTCTGAAGCGAAAGCTCCATAACACCGAGCATATTCTCAACCTTGTTGCATACATTGGCTGACGATACTAGCAGACTGTGAGTTGAACCTGCTGTTTGTTCAGCACCTACGAAGCTACCCTGCGGTGACAGGCGTTGGGCTGTTCTCGCCGACTGCTCGACAGCAGCACCTCTTGCTTGCTTCTTTCGGAGCTGTGCAGATGGAATAGTTGAAGAGGTACTTGGTGCTGATTCTGGACCGCTTCTAACTTTTCCCCGTCCGACAATCTGTCTGACAGTACCGACACGGCTCATCTTCTTCGGCGATAACGGAGTGGAAGTGCCTGGTTCACTGAGAAATTCTCTGAATTTCTTCCGTATGTTCCGAGATGGTGTATCGGTCTCGTCACCAGACGCTGAATCCAACGTTTCCGTCGATGAAAAGAACGTGTCAACGTTGATATCCACCAAATCTTCCTCGTTCAAATTGACGTCATCATAGCCACTCTGAAAAAGAAGAAGTTCATGGGTGCAACAAATTCAGAAAATCTAGTTATCCCTTCTAATAATTTCCTTATTTTTATTATATAGTTTGTAACACCGCAATCAGTAGGAGGCGGTGGGGCGGACGAGGGCGGGTTGAGCCTACCTGCGGCTGCCCTGATCTACCAATGGTGATCGGCTAATAATCGATTTAGGAAGAGAACAACCACTGATGGAAGCCGCGAAGGTGGCGTCAGTTCATCTCGCTAGAAAATGACCTGACTGATTGCGATGATGTCATATGTATTTTCATTCTACCATACGTTTCCATAATGATGTACGCTTCACCCGCATGCCCCACCCTTCAATGTTAAGGCCCAAAACAACCGAAACTGTTACTCGTGGGTGGATTGACCAAAATTCTGACCATGAGGGTACTCTGGTACGATACGAACACCACATCAGTTTGAAGCGAAGGGGTGTTGAGCATTACTTCCCCGTCGCGGAATCGTGCGCACTGAATTTCCATTCTACGAGACGTTTCCATGATGGTTTACGCTTCACCCCCAGCATTTCCAAGGAACTATATGAGGCGACCATAGGCGAAGAGAGAACTAGTCGACTTAAGAGATGCAGACGCAGAGAGAGTCGAGGCGTGCTGCAACACTGCCACATTGAGTGGATTGGGTCCTGGCGCGAATACTAAATATGTAATCGTTGCAACTCCAAATTCGTCACACTTGGTGGTACATTCGTTTTCAGCGGGTCAATGCCTCCCGATGACAAAATTCTAGCCACAACATCTGCCCAAGATAAGATTCGTCTTTGGGCCAGTTTTTTTTTTTTCAAATACCCTTGTCAAGGGCACAGGGCCCGAAACGTTATTGTATGAGATTGCAAGTTTCGTTTCAACAAAACACGAGATAATACTAGTTGTCATGCTAATATCACAACTTACTTCTTGGTCCCAAGAGCCTGCTGCAGACTGCTTCGGTGGCACTGGTGCTGTAGGCCTTTGTAGTGACTGACTGACCTTAAGTAACAGAAATTTATGAGTAGTTGCATTAAAAAATACTAACAAATAAACCAATGTACAGATAGATTAGTCGAGAACAAAACTCACAACTCTGACTCTCTCAGGACTCTTAGGAAAGTTTGCTGGCAACATTGGTGACCTCGCAACTTCTTCAACTACCTGTACTGCCATTTGAAGTGGTGCCGTCTTTTGGAGGGGTGCTGCGACCGTCTTTATCGACTGCGGTGCCG